CCCCCACCACCGAAGAATCCCCGCGCTACGCTTCCCCTCGCCTACGAGTATTCCCCGCACCCCGCGCTCCCCTCAGTGGACCTGAGTTAGAATCCCCATAGTATTCCTACTATCAAGCATATATCGGACCAATATCTAGCGCACGGTATTATTCGCCCGAACAAATGAAACCCGAGGAACGCGAGAATTTTATAAAATGGCACGACGATATGACACAATTCTGCTTTATTTTTGATTTTCAACGCGAAATAGTCAAATATTGTCATAACGACGTAGATATCCTTCGACGGGCGTGCTTGGCTTTCAGGAAAATTTTTCTTGAACGCAGGAGCGTGTGTCCGTTCGTGGAATGCACAACTATCGCTTCTACGTGTATGAAAGTTTTTCGCAGAAACTTTTTACGCGGGGAAGAAATAGGAGTCATTCCAGCGGGCGGATACAAATATAGAGATAATCACTCGCGCAAAGCCGTGCAGTAGTTGGTGTGGATGGAGCGTGAGCTCAATCAACGGATAAGCCACGCGGGGCAAGTGAGCGAGTTTCGGATTGCCAGTACGCCCGTCGATGGATATTACGAAACTGATTCGGAGAACGAGACGCGACGTTACGTGTTACAATTTCACGGATGCTTTTGGCATGGGTGTCCATCCTGCTTCCGAATAAATCGCGAAAGAAAACTCAATTCTTCCACCGATCATGGCGATACGATCGACGCGCGCTATGAGCGAATTCTCGCAGCGACATGGCATCTTCGACGACGGGGATACCTGGTGATGGAGAAATGGGAGTGCGATTTCGACCGGGAAATACGTCAGAATAATGAGATGTGCGATTTTCTTGAAAATGCTCAGATAATAAAGAACTCACCTCTCGATCCGCGTAATGCATTTTTCGGTGGCCAAACGGGGAATATAGCAACCCGATGCGATGTTGCGGGAACGGAGAAAATACGTTACATAGACGTATGCTCTCTGTATCCCTATGTACTGAAAACGGGTGCTTTTCCGATCAGTCACCCAAAGATATACATCGGAGAGGAATGTTCCAAGTTAATCGGCGTAGCTCCGGATTTCGATTTCAACTCGCTCGAAGAACTCATTCATTGTAAAATACTCCCTCCGCGCGATCTCTTTCATCCGGTACTCCCGTATCGCATACGTGACAAATTGTTGTTCGCGCTGTGTCGAAGTTGCTGCGAAACGTTCTCGCAAGCTGAATGTACTCACAGTCTCGCCGAGCGTGAATTCGAGGGTACCTGGGTATCCTGTGAATTACGCAAAGCCGTCGAGAAAGGTTATCGCGTGTCGAAAGTGAGCGAAATTTGGCAATACGAGGTCACGCGATATGATCCCGATACGGGGCAGGGTGGATTGTTTACCGGATATATCAATAGTTTTTTGCAATTGAAGCAGGAAGCTAGCGGATGGCCGAACGAATGCGTGAATGACGAAGCTAAGGAGCGATATCTTCGGGAATACGAGGAAACCGAGGGTATCGTTCTCGATAAAAATAACATCGCTCAAAATCCAGGTCTACGTTCGGTTGCAAAGCTCTGCTTAAATTCCTTTTGGGGAAAATTCGGTCAACGATCCAATTTGCCTAACACCGAGATCGTGAAAAATTACCAGCGATTGGCAGCTTTGCTCACGAGTCCAGAACACGAAATAACCGATATATTACCCGTCAACGACGAGGTAATATATGTCTCGTGGAGATTGCGAAAAGAAGCGGTCGTAGCTTCTCCGCAGACCAACGTCGTGATCGCGGCATTCACGACGGCGCTGGCGCGGCTGAAATTATACGAACATTTAGAATTATTGAATAGGCGAGTATTGTATTATGATACAGATTCCTGTATATATATAAGTACAGGCAATCCGAACGAGTACGAGCCACGTACGGGCAATTTTTTGGGGGATATGACCGACGAACTCGAGAGCTAGGGCCGCGGTAGTTATATCGAGTCGTACGTGTCGGCTGGCCCGAAATTCTATGCGTACGTTGTTCGCACACCGGAAGATCGCCTGCACGAAATTAGTAAAGTAAAAGGAATAACGCTTAATTATAAGAACTCGCTTAGGATAAATTTCGATAGTATCAGGAGATTAATAATAGAAAATGAGAGAGAAAGGTACAGAGTAGAAGAAGAAGAAGAAGAAGATGAAGAAGAGGAAGAAACATCGTGGCGTAATATAAATCTGCGTTTTACCCCAATCCGGCGCACAGCGTTTCACGAGATTATAACGCAAAATGAAACAAAAACGTGCGCACCTGTATTGGTAAAACGAAGATTTATCAATAACCGTTATTCTTGTTATTCTCTTCCCGGTTTCGTGAGCGAATAACATTTTCATCTTCTTCTTCTTCTTCTTCTTATTCGAATCGGTTCTCTCTCTTATTTTTAAGTTTGAAACATTAACGAGTTTTTCGGCCCCAAACGCTTATTATAGTTTAAGTATGGTATATAAGAAGAATGTAAAAATATTAATGTCAGCTAAGTAAGATAAAATGTCAATATTTTTTTTGTAAAACCATTTTTATTAACTTTATTATTAAGTGGATAAATATAAAATGTACATATTGTGTTTGTAATTTATAATTATGATTATAAGTCTAAGTAAAATATATTTAAATATTAAATAAAATTTAAAACCTAATATTCTCTATTTTCCTTTTCCCTTTTTAAATCAAGTAACGAATAATAAATAAAAATGATCTAATACTTGAAAACGGAAAAAGGTTTTTTTGTCTCTTAATCTCCTCCCTACTAACACTTTTCTTTTTTCGACGTAAGTTTTCCCTGAATGACATCGCGTATAAGCTCCTCGTCTATGATGCAATTCCGGGGTGACGTTCGCGCTTGGCGACGAAATTGTACGCTATTCGTGAGCATTGACGCGGAAATTAAGCTTGTATGCGTCGCACCGCGACGAGGTCAGCTCTTTGTCCGTGTGGTGCTCTTCGCTAACGGGACCGCGCGGATGTAAGCTCACCCCCGCCGCGAGGGGGCCCCACCGCCGCGTGGGTCAGCTTATTTCCCCCCTCCACTCCTTAAATTTTGTTTCTTTTTGCATATTCTCATGATTATTAAGCTCCGTTTTTCTTTTTACTTTTGAAGTCACGCACGAGAAATCGAATTGATCATTTCGCAAAATGGACGCTGGAAACATCCCTGGATTTCGATCATGTGCGGGCCAACCGGTTGCGGGAAAACGATTTTCGTAAAGAGTTTTCTCCGACATTTGCCACTCATGTCCGACGTGAATTTTAAGAGAGTTTTATTTTATTACGCGGAGTAGCAAGAAACCTATCGTCAGTTACAATTCGACTCTTGTGTAAAAGTGAACGAAGAATAAAGCAGGGCAAGCGACAGCGGTAAAGCGGCGATAAAGAAGAATACAATTGAATTTCGCGAGGGTTTACCTCGTCCGGAAGATTACTCGAACGATCCGTTTTCTCCAAAATTGGAGATAATCGATGATCTTATGAGAGAATCGTCGTCGAGCGAAGCAATCGTTGATCTTTTTACTAAAGGCAGTCATCACAAGAATCTCAGCGTTATTCTTATCTCGCAGAATCTCTTCCATCAGAGTCGTGGACAGCGTGATATATCTCTCAATGCGAATTATATCGTAGTTTCTAAAAATCCACGTGATTGCGCTCAAATCGTCATTTAGCGCGCCAAGTATATCCCGACGATCCGAAATTTCTAGAAAAGGCATACTACGACGCTACGTCGAGGCCTCACGACTATTTGCTGCTCGATCTGAAACAATCAACCCCGGACGAGTATCGATTTCGAGCGTGTATTTTTCCCGAAGATACGACTCATTACGTCTACGTGTATCACGTAGATCATTTTCGAACGGATTCGTATAAAAGACGAGCACGTATGATAGTACCAGTCAGTCGTATGTTTTTCTCGCGATGAAGACGAGTGACAAGAAATTACGCAGTGCGACGAAAATCGCCACACATTCGATCGGTAAAAGAAACGCCTGTCTTCTCGCGGCATCTGTCTTCCTCTAAAGGCCCGTCTACAATACACAGAGTAAGAAGTAAGAGTAAGAAATTGACCAATCACAGTCAAATGTGAGAAGAATAATCGACTGTGATTGGTCAATTTCTTACTCTTACTTCTTACTCCGTGTATTGTAGACGACGCCTAACATCTGAACAAAAATCAACGCACAACCTTCCTACGCGCCGCGGACGAAAAACTTATTCGTTGTATCTGCGAATGTGTTTTTAATACACTCAAAGGTCTCGCTCGAACGTTGTGAAAAAAATCAGCTAACCAAATTCAAAACGCCTCTGCGTCGTATCGCAAAACGTGGTAATTGGAAGGATAAAAGAAAGCTGTTGGTGCAGCGAGGCGGGTTTTTACCTTATATTATCGGGCCTATATTATTGACTTTATTATCGCTAATTATCGAAGGAATGAAATAGTGTGATAAAACGTTATGGAGAGAGCCAAAAAAATGATTTTAATTTCGACGGAAAATCTCTCGAGCTGATGTTGCAGCTACGTCAGAATCCGACATCATTCGCTGACGGAGAGTCAAAAGAAATCGCAGTACTGCAAAATTCGGATAACACAGCGAGCACTAATAGCACAAACTCCCGGAGTCATCTAACACGACTCGATGCGGAGATGGATCGTATTCTTAATTCTGACTGGCCACGCGACGAAAGTGAGAGATGGAAAATGTACAGAGAGGCATTATGGCGATACCTACGATTTATCCAAGAAACGCGAAGGCAGAATGACGCCCGCAGCGAAAACGAAAATGCAGAAGACAACGCTACATGAGATGGCTCCGCTGATAACGAGACGACGAACGATGACGTCGTTTTTCATGATTTCACGTAAACATCCGATATACCGCCAGCACATTCCGTCAGTAACATCGGTATTATTACGAAAAATTTTGAAATTTCGAGCGAGCATAATCGTGCGAGGAATAATCATGCGATGAAAAGCATTGAGGAAATAGTGGAAAGCGTACCGAAATCTTATCGTAAGCATGCACACTTACTGATGAAACATTTAATTCGAAATGCTATGCCTGATAGAATTAGTTGGAACGAGCACGGAATCGTGACTATATATGACAACGTCGTGAAAGACTCGAATATCACTTGATAAACAACGCGATGAGCGAGAGAAAAACTGTGAAAGCAGTAGGTAGAAATCAGTTCGCGCGATTACTCCGTGCGTTCAACATACTTTCTGCGCTGGTGAGAAATAAAAGATTATTGTCCTCGCACGGTGTTAGTGTAAACAGCGTAAAACTTCGATTTCGGGCGAGTTTCACGCCTTTTATATCGAAAGCGCAAGTTCCACGCCGATTGTATCGAGAGAAAAGAGAAAAACGCAAAAATTATGAACAAGAAGCAGACGAGGAAAGTTCGATGATTCTTTCTCGTACACGAAAAACTGATACCCCCACATCTCTACAAACGGGAAAAAATCGGTTTCTCGGTTGGAAAAAACTAGGATAATACAATGGCGTTTGAAAAATTTTACTACGATCCGTCGCATAACGCGGGTTATTCGGCGGTGGATAATCAAACTCGTGCTGTTAAACCGAATTTCTCACGGGGAGAAGTCGTGCGCTGGCCCGAATTGCAAGACGCGTACACGTTGCACCGACCATTGCGTAGAAAATTTCCACGATTGCATTACAACGTAACAAACATCGACGATGTGTGGGAGGCAGATTTGTTCGAACTCCGAAATCTAAAAAGTTACAACGACGGTTATTCCTATCTGTTAGTGATTATCGATGTACTAAGTAAATACGTATGGATAGAACCGTTAAGCGACAAAACGAGTAACTGCGCGATAAAAGCTTTTCAACGCGTACTAGCGAAAAGCGAAGGACGAGTACCCGTGTACCTGCAAACGGACAAGAATAAAGAATTTGTCGCGCAATCAATGCAGAAATTTCTTAAAGAAAACATTCGTTTTCGGGTAACGCGCAATCCAGACGTCAAAGCGGCCATCGTCGAGCGCTTCAACAGAACACTGAAGGAACGAATGTGGCGTTATTTTACGCATAAAAATACGCGATGCTACATCGATGTTCTGCAGGACATTGTACACGCTTACAATCACACGCGTCACTCGTCCACGAGAATGCAACCTGCGGTAGTAACGAGAGAAAACGCACGTATCGCTCGTGAAAATATAGCTCGTCGTTGGAAAAACGAAACGTTAAAGAAACAGGTGCAACAGGTTAAATATCGCGTCGTATCACGTTCGTATCAGTAGAGTGAAAGTGCTTTCGATACAGGATACGAGGCTAAGAGGAGCGAGGAGATATTTCAAATTTACTGTGTTCTCGATTGGTGAAACCCTCACATGTACGAACTGCGAGATTTAGCAGGCGAAGTCATAGACGATATTTTTTATGAGCAAGAATTAGCTCGAGTTGAGAAAAACGTAGAGGAAGAACAGTTTATCGTCAATCGCGTGATAAAGAGTAGAGGACGAGGAGCTTATAAGCAAGTGCTTGTTAGTTGGCGCGGTTATCCCAGTAAGTTTGATAGTTGGATACCGGCTTCGAGTTTAATTTCTCTTCACGATGGAGGAGGAACAATTTCTTCTGGTATTCCCGAGTAACAGCAGTATGCGTCATTTTCCGGATAATACAACTTCGTCCTTCATCACGGAATTACCTCATTCTATCGTGTTACACGGACAATTGGAGGTTGCGATAACCGAGATTCAATTTCCCTGTACCTTTTTACACATACGTCATAACAAAAATGTGATCAGATTCGTCGATATTAAACCTGACGAAAGGTGCGTTTACGGCGAAAGAAGGTACATTTCCAAATGGTATTTACAGCGATATCTATGATCTTATTGATGCGATTAATACCACGTGTAAACTTGCCGAATCGCATTTTTATTTTGAACTGAAAAAAGCGTCTGGCGGCAAAGTCTTGATAAGTAATAACTGCGTTGAAAAGTGCAAAATGCTACAGCATATAAACTTTTCCGATAATCTTCTAAGAATACTAGATTTCTCATCAGCACTTTCCGCAAATCACCCATTTTATTCTAAGCTCGCGATACGTAAACCTAATTCCAATGAAACAGAAGATAAAGCTTTTCTTACTAACGAATTTGATAAGGAGACGGGAGAACGACTTGCAGACGGTTATTGGAGTAACGAACCCTATAGTTTGTGGCGCGGTATCCCAGATAAAATGTTCGTTTATTGCGATATTTGTAAGCCTTATATAACAGGTGATGTACGTACTCCACTTCTCAGGATAGTTCCGGTCGAGATACGCAGCCATAATTACGCATTTGGTGCAAATTTGGTGAAGCATTTCTCATTTTCAAATTATATCCCATTGCGACGAAGAAATTTTAGAATGATCGAAATAGATATAAGAGATCATCTTGGAAAAAAAATTCCATTTGAATTCGGAACGCTGACAGTGACTCTGCACTTTAAACGTAAGCAATAACTTTCTTTCGTATATGCGAGCGTGTCGGTATAGCGACAGTCTTTAGTTAGAAACTAGCTATGGAGTATGAGGAGTATTTTGATACGCGGGACATCGGTAGCCGACGTGGAATTCCACGTGTTTTCGTCGGTTCGCCCTACCAAAGCGGACATGGAATCGGAAGCTTTCTCGGTGGACTATTCAGAAAAATATTACCTTACCTAGGTAAAGGTACACGTGCTGTCGGAAAAGAAGCTTTACGTGCGGGAATTAACTTAATAGAAGACATCGAAAATAATAAGCCGTTGAAGGAAGCGGTCAAAAGTCGTCTCGCGGAATCTAGGTGTAATCTGAAGAGAAAAGCCAAAGAAAATATAAGTTCCCTGATGAGGGGGTCGGGATATAAAATATCCGCAAAGTCCGCATCACTTCACTTTCTATTCGGAGGTCGGAATAGTCGTATCGCGCTTCGTAAACGACGTCGGGCAGTCAAAAGAAAATCATCGAGGAGTAGCACAGGGAAGAAGAGCAAAAAAGTGACGAAGAAGAAAAAAAAATTCGCGTTGCAGGAAGAAAAACCAAAAAACCATCCACTAGGAAACATCGAGTCAAGAAACGCGACGTATCCGACATATTCTCTTAATTGAGATAGGAATTCGTGACTGGAGAAAAAGCATGTCCTTTCTTCATACCCACTCAAGCGAGTGTATAAAGAGCGAACTCGATTTCTTCTCTCTACCACCTACGCAAACCAGCATCGAGAGTTCGCAATGGATTTATTATAAGCCCGTAACTTCGCTCACGGACGACTCACCCATAGAATTCGTCATACCCGACCATGGAGAAGACTATCTGGATCTCACTCACACCATGTTGAGCCTTCGCATACGCGTAGAAAGCGAACGCGGAAGAGCACATCGGTCGCAGCCGCCGACGTGGCAAAAGTAGAACCCGTAAATCATTTACTGCATTCCATGTTCAACCAAATCGACGTATATTTCAATCAAAACTCGTGTCGCCACCACACAATTCTTACGCTTACCGCGCGTACATCGAGGCGTTAAATTATGCTTCACTCGCAAAAACTTCCCATCTAACCTCTTGCTTATGGGACGCGGAGATTCCCGGCTACATGGACGACATGTTAGACTCGTCAAATCCAAATACGGCACTCGAGAGACGCGCGAAATACATTCAAGGAAATCGTGCGCTAGATTTCGTAGGTCACCTTCACTGCGACGTTTTCAATAAAGATAAATTTTTAATTAACGGAGTGGAAGTTAGAATGAAACTCGTACGCTCGAAAAATTCATTTTGCCTAATGGAGACTAGAACGATGTCAAAAATACGTATTCTCGATGACAGTTTACTCGTAAGAAGAGCAAAAATAAGTCCGGGTGTGCTACTCGCACACGCTAGAATGCTGAGTAAAACTACCGCCAAGTATGCCCTTACGAGAGTCGAAGTTAAAACATTCACGATACACGCTGGCGTCGTGGGGAAATCGATAGACAATGCAATACTCGGACAGCTGCCGAAATGAATAATAGTTGGCTTTATCGATAACAAGGCATTTAACAGGGGGGGGGGGGGGGGTGATAGAAAATTTAATCCGTTTAATTTCAAAAATTACAGAATAAATTTCTTTTCGTTGTACGCCGATGGCATGCAAATTCCCAGTAGGCCGTTACAGTCAAAAGACGAGCCGCTCTACGTTGAAGCTTATCACACAATATTCTCGGGAACTGACATTCACTTTCTGAACGAGGGTAATTCTATAAGCAGAGACAATTACGCCAATGGCTACACTCTTTTCGCTTTTGATCTTACTCCGGATCTATCCGCTAATTGTGCAGGACATTGGAATCTTGTGGAACATGGAAGCTTACGATTAGAAGTGAGATTCGAAAAAGCTCTTTCCGTGATTATTAAGTGTATCGTCTATGCAGAGTTCGATAACGTTTTAGAAATCGATTCCTCCCGTCAAGTCATTGTCGACTATTCCGGTTAGCTCTATACTTTTCGTGAGAAAAATATTTTCCCCCTACTACACATTATTTCTAATCTAATTCCGCGTGAGATGACGAAAAAAGCTTCAGTCTTGTTCGTGACACCGACGCTGACGTTTCGTGATATAAAAAGAGTAGCGAAAATTCGAATATATAATGGATATAGTCATAGACATACAAGGTTTTCGCGATGTCGAAGACAACTTTATTCCGAAAGAAATCGCGGTTCTTGCGATTAATGCGACGATCACCGGGCACTGGAATATGAGGCCACCATATCCATTTGGAGAGTTATCCGAGAGAGCAAGACGAGAAAACAACTAGCTTACACGAAATTATCACGAAATCAATGGTTCGACGGAGACATTAATCCTACATACTTCACGATACATTTGCGAGCTATTACACGACACGCACGCTACATCTATACCATTGGACAAGAGAAGTTACGTTATCTGAGTAATTTACTCTCCAGAAACGTATATAATCTGGAAGGAATTTCTCCGGCTTTCAAAAATCTGCTAGATTTCGGAGGTTGCGGACAACGTTTCAAGCACCACGGATTTCGAACCAACGTTGAATCACATTGCGCCTTACGCAACGCTTACAAATTGAAATGTTGGCTAGCTATACGAAATAGCAGCAATTCGAGCTACGATAGTCTTCCTTCAGAAAATTGCAGCGAAAGCGACGTCAAGAGCGAAAAAACAAACAGCGGAATTTTTTCAATTAAATTTAAAAATCAGAAAAACGATATATTTCGCAACATCGAGGCGTAGAGGAAAAATGTCGTGACAGAAAAAGCGAACTAAAGCGAGGACGAATAAGCGACAGCCGAAGAGAAAAAAGATCTTCCAAAATTCGACTCGACTGATAGAGATAAAGCTAACACTAGCGTTTCGCAAACGTCTAGTATTTTTGAGATCTCGACAACGCACGTACTGGCAAAAGAGGTAAATTCTGAATTTACGCATACATTTCCTCTCTCACGCTCACCTACGCCGAAAAATGAAATCACTGGAAGTTTTAAACGCCTTACATCAACTCAGTGTTCGACATGCAGGGGTCTATTCTGCCGACCGACTGCCGAGGATGTGGACGAAGTCGACTGCCATTGTCGCTAACACAGACGATCACGATCGACCTGGCCAGCACTGGGTCGCCTTCTACATCAATGAATGCGGTACAAGAACATATTTCGATAGCTACGGTTTGCCGCCCTTGGACTCAAGATTCCTCTTACGACTTCGCCGAAACTCCACCACGTATCGCTGGAACACGACGACGCTGCAAGGAATACTTTCTCAAACTTGCGGACAATACTGTTGTATATTTTATGTGTAATGGTTATAATCTTAGCCAGTTTCTTAGTCTGTTTACCCTGATTGTAAACGCAATGATCGATTGATTGCACAGTTATTTCATAAATTTTTTCTTCGTTGTAAACGTAAAACAATTAATTCTCATGCTGTATGCCGTTATGTTCAATCGTCTGCTCTTTTAAAAAGTAAAATATAAAATAAACGATTATTCTCGCGAAAGAACTATTTTATGTAACAACGTTATTTTATCAATAAACATCTTCTTTTCAATTTTGTCGATGTACGCCACGTCTATTATTTTCCTAATCATTTTCTCGTTCCCTTCCAACCGACATCTTCTTTTATCATATTTTTTGTGAGAACTAAATTAATAAAAACTTTTGTCATTTTTCGAAATAAGACTAACGCTAACATAAAAGGCAAAAATAGAATTTATCTAAAACGAGTAAATCATCCCAGCTTTGTTACAAACAGGCACGAACTTGCCCATTGCTGTTTTCCTCCTGTCCTTCCAGACAAAAAATCGGTCGCACAGCGTTAAATAATAGAAAAATAAATAAGCGATAAAGGAAGACTCTCTTCATTGCGTCTAACCAGGACGCGAGAAAAACGAAGGGCCATAAATCATACCCGCATTCCTCTCCGAAGCTTGAACCTTTCCCCCTTTTTCCCCCCCTGGCAAAAAACTGTTTCGGGGACCTATTTTCTCCACCTCCGCCATTTTCTCGGATTTGGCGGTTTTTCATTTTCACTTTCATTCTCTCTCTCACTCAACGTGCCCTCTCTCTCTCACTCAACGTGCCCTCTCTCTCACCAATCGTAGCACGGGCAGCCATCGAGAGAACCAATCGAAACGCGCCATTTAATTACCTCATTACTCCACCCTCGCGTCACCAACCAATCAGAGCGCTCCCTTTTTCCAGACAGGCCCCTCTAGTCGTCTAGGAGAGAGTGGAAGGGGATTTGTTTTGACGTTTAGGGGGGGAAGAGGGGGTTTATTTTGACGCCAGGGGTGGAGTGGTGGGGGTTTGTTTTGAATGTCTGTGAAGTTAGCACCGCCATTTTGAAAAACAAAAAAAATCAAAATTGTGCTAGGCTTGTGCTACGTTGTGTCGTAAACGGCGAAAGGCCTCGGTAGTGTTCTAATGGCTCAGGACGCTCGTACGGTTTACAAGAGATCCGGGTTCAAGTCCCGGCCGAGGTAATATTTTTCGCAATAAATTTATTAATAGTTTTTATAGATTAACATCTTTATAATATATGATGCTTGATGGTAGCATCAAATTATTAAATTGTTTGTCAATTTAATTCGCAATTACTAGAGTAGTTTTAATTGCGTTTATTTAGTCCGGAAAAAATTCGGCGCGCAGTTTGAAAAAGACTACAATATGGTATATATGCAAGTACATATATAGTATATATTAGTAATTCAAAATTGAATTATTTAAAGCAACGAAGATCCAGCTCCAACCGTAATAGGCCGTTACACCTTAATATTAATTAATATTTATAAATTGCCTATAGATGAGCGGATTTCGATCTCGAACCACTCACTTCCTGTGTTAAATAACTTAGCTTCTTGTTCCTTACATTGCACCGAAGTAGATAGGAGTTTGTTACAGTTAGCGAAAGATACTAGGGTTTTTTTAAGGGATATGAACGATAGGGTGATTTTTACTCGTGCGGATGGGGGATGTGACAGTAGCATTGGATAGACAAATGTACATTTCCAAGGTAAATGAAATGCTTCAAGATGTCAATACTTAT